TACCAATTCCTAAATTGACCAAATATCGTATTCGTCTCATACAACAACGCCCCCTATAGTTCGTTGCGATCGCGAATTAAAGACAAACTTAGAAAAAGAATTTTGAAATGCAGAATATGCGTTTGACGTCACATCGCTTCCGGTTCTCCTATTTCCCAGACAAAGTCATTCAGTGCAAATGCTGCCTTAGCTAAACAAACTGCTCGCCCTAGCGCAAAATCTATGCAGCAAGAATGTTTCATTAATAAAAGTTCTTACTTTGACCGTTCTCTATGCTTGTGCGCAACGCATACTCATTGGACTAGCAAAAATAGCTCTTTAAAAAATGAAAACATTTTTAAATTTTGCTTTAGAGATTTAAAAGAGTAGAAATAATGAGTTGTAAGCTGTTCAGTAAGCCAAACTTTAAACGAAATGTAAATAAATAAATTAATAATTACAGACTGAAAATCTTAACTCTTTTTTTTATTTTTTACCTTCCAAATAATTTCAAATGCTGGAGTGATGAATGACATTTGATTCATTCTTTATGATTTTTCTTCTATGAAAAAACGAAGTTTAACCGTGTGATACATTTTATTCCATATTAACTGCAGTTTCGAGTATATTCATCGGAAATTAAACATTTATTACACAGTTTAGTACTTATTTTCCAACTATATGTTACCAACAACTAAAGTTTTCTTTGATGCCTTCTTCTAATGTTTAAGAAAGTGTTACCCATGTACTTTTGTGAATGACTTTGTTTATATAAAATTAACATTGTTTCTTAAGTCTAAAATTCCAATTTTTATTTTATTTTCAGTTTACAATTATCTCTTTTTTTCAACTCATATTTAATAAGAAAATTAGAGTTGAATTTTTTTCAGTTTGTAAGCTAAATATTTTGTATCACAGATTTTATATTGTGTTAAGAAAAATAAATTTTTGGTAATTAATATCGAATTTTCACTATTAGTTACAATATGCTGTTACAATATTGGTTACAATAAATAAACTTATGAATCATCCATAAAAAATTATGAAACTTTAGTGAGGGCTTTTATACTAAAGTCTGTATTACTGTATGAGGAAAATAGTTAAGAAATAGCAACTTTTCGGGAAATTACTTACCGTAAAGTATCTATTAGGAAGAAAAAAATTTATGATCATGGATGCTAACTTCATAGAATCATTGAAAGTGGAAAAAGGTATTATTTCTGCTATTGAGAATACTTATTCTAGCATCCTAAATAATCAAAACTTATTTGAAAAAGTGAACTTTATTAGACAGACTTTAGGTCATGCTAAATTGAAACCTTATTCTTGTAAAATATGTTGTAGCAGTTTCACTAGAAGTGCTAGTTTAGCAAGGCATGTTCTTGTTCATAATAAGCAGAAACCTTATTCTTGTAATATATGTAATGAAAATTTCACCCAAAATTCCTCTTTAATAAGGCATTCTGTTGTTCACACGAAAGAAAAACCTTATTCTTGTAGTTTATGTAATAAAAGCTTTGCTTTGAAGCAAAGCTTATCTATTCATAGCCGTATTCATTCTGGAGAAAAAAATTTTGCTTGTGGCATTTGTAATACAAGTTTTAGACAAAGAAATACACTACATAGACATCTCCTTACCCATACTAAAGAGAAACCATATTCCTGTAATGAATGCCATAAAAAATTTTCACGCAAGTTTCATGTAGTCAGACATGCAACTGTTCATTCTAAAGAAAGACCTTTCTTTTGTGATGAATGCGATAAAAGTTTTACCAGAATGGATTCATTAAGAAAACATAGACTTTTTCATTCTAAATGAAACTTTAATTCAAATTTAGCAAAAGAGTTCATTAAATAAATAGTTTCTCTAAGCAAGAAAGATTATACCAAAAGACAAATATAGACTATAATCTTGGTGATAAATATAGCGACAGCAGGACTTCAGTTCAGTTACCTGGCAGCATTGCAGTTTGTGGTATTGTTCATTGTTTCACTTGTTCCAGTGTTTCACTATTGTTCATTGTTTTTTAATTTATTATTATAATATATTTTGATAAATAAATGTAATTGCATTTTATTGTATCGTTACATTCTAGTATATTTAACCAGTGTTTTCATCATAGAAAAAAAATAGGTGAGAATTTCTCACCCTTTCTCAAAAACAGGGTGAGATTTCAAAAACTTAAGTGAAATTTCTAAAAACACGAAAACTCTTGAAAAAAAAATTTCTTTAATTATAATACATTTTTAACGTCTTCTATTTTTTAAAGCATTGAATCTTTTTAGTGCATCATCATAGAAGATTTTGCCTTTACAAGGTATTTGTCCATCTTACATTAGCACATAAAAAATATGAACATCTTACATGAAGAAACCTAACCTACGGTAAACACGTGGCTGCAGAGAAATGTGTTCTGAAAGGGATTCTGTGGTTGTGTTCTGTTGTTCGAAAAGGTTTCGAACAATACTGGTAAATAGGGAAGCTAGATAACAGGGCAGATGTTGAAAATAATGAAAGATCCAGGAAGAAGTGATTCGCGAATTTTGAAATTGATTTATAGAATGCGTGAACTTCTCGCGGTAATAATTTTTTAATGCGAAAAAAGAAAAAAATATGCGAGATTCTCGCGTTCTCACGCTGTAGTGAAAACACTGATTTAACTACTATTTATTTTAAATTAATTTCTTGATTCTTATAATATATTTTAAATAGTGAGTATCACTGCTTAATGAACAATGATTTGGCCAAACTTTAGGCAAATATTTTGCCACTAAATTTTGAATCATGAATTCTAATATCAACCATAATATTATGTATTGATATCTTCATACAATTTTTACTAAACATGTCCAGTATTAAGGATAAAGTATAAGGAAATTTTAACTTATTTTAGGCATTCTATTAAAGCTTGTGTGATATCAAGTTGTGAAATATATATTTACCAGCCTGTTTATAGTGAAATATTTTACCTGAAAAATTTGAATTGCTTATTCTTTTTTAGTAAAATCTTGCCAACTTATGAGTTTTAGTTGTTTGACTGTTATTGATTTATTATAATATGCTTCAGTTTTTAAATTTTCATTTAAGATTGATAATATTAAGAGTGTTTTATTTTATTTTTTATATTAAAACCAAATTATAAATGAAGCATTATTGTTTTTGACTAATTTAATAATTTTTTTTATTTATCTATTTTGAAATTAATTTTTATTTCAAATTTTTATGTTTGAAATTCATTTCCTGGAAGAAAAAAAAAAATTTTCTGATACCTAACGTTTAGTTATTTTAATAAGTCTTAAACATTTCTTATAAATAACATTTTTAATCTTCCTTAAATTTATCTTCATTTGGACCAGAAAAAAATCTTTCCATTAACTTTTTTTAAATTTGTTTTTTTTTATCTAATTTTAAAGTAGCAGAATAATATAATAAATTATTGTTCCGTAATTACATATTAAATTAATGTTTAATATTTAAAATAACTTATTGTAATAAATTTAATAAAGTGTAAATTTTCTTACTGCTCAAAAGCATAAATATAATTCAATAATTATGTTATTCAAAATACATCAATTGATATTAGCATTAATGCAAATTTTTTTTAATCTAGATCATTCAGCCAAATACTTTATTATTTTGCTGAACTGAATACTGGGCATTTAAGCCACATACCAAATGTTTATTGTATCCCTAATATTCTTAATGTGCAGAAGCATAAATATAATTCAATAATTGTGTTATTTAAAAAAAAACATCAATTGATATTATAATTTTAATACAAATAATATTGTTTTTAGTATTTCGCTAGACCATTCTGCTAAATACTTTATTATTTTGCTGTACTAAATACTACTCGGTTTTCGAACCACATGCCAATTGTTTGTTATGTCTCTAATATTCTTAATTTGCAAAAGCATAAATATAATTCAATAATAGTGTTATTTAAAATACATCAATAGATATTATCTTTTTAATACAAATAATATTGCATTTAATATTCCGCTAGACCATTCTTCTAAATACTTTATTATTTTGCTGAACTAAATACTACTCGGTTTTCGAGCCACATGCCAATTGTTTGTTATGCCCCTAATATTCTTAATGTGCAAAAGCATAAATATAATTCAATAATTGTGTTATTTAAAATACATCAATTGATATTATTTTTTTAATACAAATAATATTGTTTTTAATATTCCGCTAGACCATTCTTCTAAATACTTTATTATTTTGCTGAACTAAACACTACTCGGTTTTCGAGCCTCATGCCAATTGTTTGTTATGTCTCTAATATTCTTAATTTGCAAAAGCATAAATATAATTCAATAATTGTGTTATTTAAAATACTTCAATAGATATTATCTTTTTAATACAAATAATATTGCTTTTAATATTCCGCTAGACCATTCTTCTAAATACTTTATTATTTTGCTGAACTAAATAATACTACTCGGTTTTTGAGCCACATGCCAATTGTTTGTTATGTCCCTAATATTCTTAATTTGCGAAAGCATAAATATAATTCAATAATTGTGTTATTTAAAATGCATCAATTGATATTATCATTAATGCAAATAATATAGTTTTTAATATTCCTCTAGACCATTCTGCTAAATACTTTATTATTTTGCTGAACTAAATACTCTGTTTTCTTGCCACATACCAAATGTTTATTGTGTCTGTAATAATAAGTGAACTCTTATTTTTCTAACTAATCAAAATAATCAAATGACTTGAACAACATAATACTTATTAATATCCTACTCAGATTGCTGGGAAATAAAGGGGATCTGTGCCTAATGCTGAGCACATTACAACAAGCAGTGGTCACGAAATTGGGGATGTTAAGCATATATGACTCTTTTGCTGACAGCAAGCTGTTGCAGGAATGCTTTTTTTTATTAATACATTATTTTGCATAGCATTAACATTAACTTTTTTTTTAATGAAAAGTTAGATTGGCTTTCTTCTTAGTAGTATTATTGTGTATGAATGTATTTAAATATTGAGAGACCATGCATAAAATCTGTCCTATGTGCCCAGTTACAGCTATTATTTACCATTGATGGCAAACCTATAACACTACAAATCATTTTGGTTAACATGAGAAACAATGAAATATGAATAAAAAGGAAAAATATGACAACCAAAGCTGGCGTCTTCAGGGGTCATCTCCGGACGTCATGAAAGCAAAACCTTTGATATCGAGATAGCACGACAAAAGTCTAAAATTGCTCCCTCTGTCCCAAAGGTTTTGCCAAAATCCAGAAAAAGAATATAATACATAATATAAAATACATAAACTAAATACAGAAGTATAAAAACAAGACAAATACACTAGAATAGTACATACAAATTATTATTATGTATTTAGTTTATGTATTTTATATTAAGGCTTTGCCAAAATCCAGAAAATGAATATAATACATAATATAATATACATAAAATAAATACAGAAGAATAAAAACAAGACATATGCACAAGAATAGTACATACAAATTATTATTATTATTCTGTATTTATTTTATGTATTATATTCTTTTCCTGGACTTTGGCAAAACCTTAGGGGTACAGAGAGTGCAATTTTAGTGCTCTCTCGATAGAAGAGTTTTTGCTTTTATGACTTCCAGAGCTGGTGCCCCTGAAGCCGTCAGCTTTGGTTGTCATATTTTTCCATTCGTTTTTCATGTTTCATTGTTTCTTATGTTTCAATTCCTTTCGGATTCACTGCTGCTTTGCATTGGAAGTAATATTTTAAATGCTTTTGAATTTTAAATTCTTTTCTTAATTTGGTTAACATGCTTAGTAAGAGTCAGGCTCAGAAAATTTACAACCACTTTTAAATTTTTTTTCATTTTACTGTGATTGCAATGACAAAAAAATTTCGATTGGACAACGTACCAGTACGAAGATTTTTTTTAAATTTTGACTATGAGGTCAAAAGTTCAGAGTCATGGTAATATGCCATGATTTCTTTTTATTTCAAAAATGTATACATTAACTTGTAAATTTAATTTTAAAAAAAGTTGCAGTCGGTGATCTATTTTTTCTGTTTTGGGTGTATTATTTTCTTATTTCAAATTCCTTTGAAAAATTAGGGTTGTGAAAACTTTTTATTTTATTTTGTAATTATTTAATTTTTCTAATGAGTTACTTGGATGCATTTACAACTCACATGCTTATATGTGATTTATTTTTTGTCTATACATTTTTATAAATCAATGTGACAATGCATAGTCTAAAATAGTGACTTCAGCCATCCTAAAATATTATTTTAACTCTAGATAAAATTCCTGTTGCCAAAACATGTTTTGAGGATGCAAATTTTCTTGTGGAATTTTTGATGGCTTTTAAATGTTGAGGGGAAATAATTCAATGAGAAATTGAAGAAAAATGTTTAGTATATTTTTATGCAAGTAATAAAATTGAACTAAATAGGAATGCATCATAAATTATTATAGATATAATGTAAATGACAATCATTTTCTTGGAGAGGAGATATTGCTGTTCATTTATTCTTTTAATTCAATGCTTGCACATTTTTTTTAATCCAATTTTAAGTCAAAGATATTTTCTGATGATATTAAAAATTTGCATAGCCCTTAAGCAAACAGTTTTTTTTTTTTTTCACTGTTTGTTATTTAGTTGACTTACGACTTCAGTTGACTTATGCATTAATAAATAATATTAATTTTTTTTTTTGAATTTTATGATGTTTTAATGTAATATTGAACCCTCAAAATGTTCTCTGATAATTTTCTATATAGTCTTTAAAATTGTGGAATTTATATTATTTCACTCCTTAAAGATAAATTTCG